TTCAGAAAAATCCACACAGAAAAGAGTTCTTTAATGGGCATGAAAGGTGTTGAACCAAAAACAAAAAATTTGATAAAAATTCACAAACCTGGGGAACAATAAAATTTTCTTCACTTTGATTATTTTGACGAGAGCCTGATTCCACCACCCTGCCTCGCATATTATATTAATAACAATATCATGTACTGTTAAACCTCGTTATACCGACGGCCTTGGGACTAGCGTGAAGTTGGCTGTACAGCTGCGCTGGCGGTACAAAGGGATAGCACGGATAACTATCTTGACTAGTGGTAGAGACTATATACAAACTGAAATTTTCAGCCGAATCCCAAGCTGGGATATATTATGTGTCAAGGACCTAGCTTGTAGCCGAACATTTTTAAAACGTGATTCTCATCAGTCTTCCGGCAGCCTCTGACCTTCCACGAAGTATTGTGAGTCCTCAAAAGGTAAAATACTCACGGGCGCCCGCCAGCCATTTGGAAATCGGGTTGATATCTGGTGAAGCAAGATGTTTGGAGACTGGCCGAGGTGGAGCAGTTCCTTTGACGTTTCTTCTGACCACTTCATGATTATACCCCAATTTTAAAATTTTGACTAAATCCTAATAATAGCAGTACGTCTAATTTCATAAGCAGCGTAAATCAGGAGGAAATAGGCGACAAACGCGGGAGAGAGACTATCAAACAGCCACCGAATGAGGGTCGTAGGTCCTGTGTAGTTGTACCTCTGGCGGTACAACGGGGCAAAATTACATTCGTTTGATAGGGACCATACAACTGAGACAGTTGGCAGATGACAGATGGCGCTGTAAAGCTGCAAATATTAATGTTTATGTTGGTTTTCTTTTTGTACACTGGCAAAACCTGGCGGTAAACGGGACTGGGGGTCCAACGAAAGGGGGAAAGGGTGGGGGGTGGTGGTGGTACAGAGACGTTGGGCTGTATTTGAGGGATTTCATAAGACAGCAAACTAGACATGTATGCCAACACTTCTCTCCTGAATAAATATGAACTAACGATTAGTTGTTTTATTTTGTTTTGTTTTGTTTTGTTTTGTTTTGTTGTTGTTGTTGTTTTTGTTTTTGTTTTTGTTTTTGTTTTTGTTTTGTTTTTGGGGTTGTTGTTTTTTTTTTTTGGGGGGGGGGGCTCAATATATTCTACTTTCAAGTTGATAATTCATTACTGTCTGTACTTTATTATTGAACCAGAGAAAGTGTAGTCACTTAATCTGTACGACGGCATGGGTCGGAAACACAAGACGTTACTAAGAAGAATTGTAATGTTCTATCTACTCAGTACCTAGTTTGGGGAAGTTTGACATAATATTATGTTGAGCATCACTACATGTCCATATTTTTCGAATGCAGTTCTTTGAATATCTTGGCAACGACTCCGAATAATCTTCTGATTTTGATAGAGCAGATAGAACATCTGGTTTCTGTCGTTATGGTCTTAGTAATAATAATAATGATGAGAATAATAATAACTATAATAATAATAATAATAATAATAATAATAATAATAATAATAATAATAATCATAATCATAATAATAATAATAATAATAATAATAATAATAATAATAATAATAATAATATAATAATAATAATAATAATAATAATAATAATAATAATAATAATAATGATAATAATAATAATAGTAATTGCATTTATATAGCGCATTTCCACGCTCTATAGCATGCTTCTACGACATATTGTTTTAAAGTTTAAAAATCTTCTTTCATTTCTATAGTTGATTGTTTAGTATATCATGCAGTGATAGAATTAATGTAAACGAAAATTCGAAAGGCAATGACATTTTGCCAAAACAGCGGGTTTTTAATTGTTTGATAAAGTGATGCCCAAACTTCAAAATGATGTAATTATTTGATGATCATTTATTCAAGCTGATATAGGCCTAGATCTAGATCTAGATCTAAGTGGCTTCCGCGATTTAGTTGTGTTGTAGATAATCCATCATAATTTTGAGAATTAAAACCTAGTGTCCACTGTCCACCCACTGTGTTTATCTGGTGTGTTGATACTATGTCTGGACGGAAAAAGCGCTCATATGACCTTACGCAGTTGCGAGCGCCGTATAACACTAGGAACACCCCCCCCCCACACACAAAACCAACAAAATAACAGCAAACACACAAACAAACAAACAAAAAAACCCAAACAGGTTAGATGTAAGTTTGCTTCCTGTTTAAAAACTTTTTTTTTTACTAACCATTTCATAACCATAAACAAAAGTATGTGGGTTTTATCATAGACAACAAACTCGACTGGCATGTCAGCACTTCTCTCCTGCATGAACAAGTGAACAAAAACCTTTTCTTTTCTAGGAAGCTCGAATATCTGGGGTGATTAAGGCATATAACTGAGAAAAATGTTATGTACATTTTAAGACTTTTTTTCGGTATCAAAAAGGATTTTAAGTAATTTTGCGATGAGTAATCAATTAGGGGTGTATTTACATAAAAATAGCTCAGCAAGAACATTTTGGGTTGACCTGAGACTTGTTATTAAGATGGCTCCGCCTACATTTGACATCGGCCTCTGCAAGATTTCTTTAAATGTTGGTGAATACCTCAGAATTTATTGCACTTAAAATGTTATAAGTTGAAGATTAGGCTCTTTGATAGTCAGATGAACCATAGAAGTCGTGTAGTATTTGAAAGAAAATATATAAGTTAAGGTTTTGACATAGGGTGCCTTTGCGTGTATTATTTGTGTGTATTATTTGCGTGTATTATTTGTGTGTATTATTTGCGTGTATTATTTGTGTGTATTATTTGCGTGTATTATTTGTGTGTATTATTTGCGTGTATTATTTGTGTTTATTATTTGCGTGTATTATTTGTGTGTATTTTTTGCGTGTATTATTTGTGTGTATTATTTGTGTGTATTATTTGCGTGTATTTTTTGTGTGTATTATTTGTGTGTATTATTTGTGTGTATTATTTGTGTGTATTATTTTATTTGCGTGTTAACTTTTCAGGATCAGAAACGGGCTGCATGCATTTATTAATTATGGCCACTGATCTCGCCAGGGGCTTATTTAGTTACAGTACCGGTACGTTTTCAATCATCAGCAACTTTTGATCTATCTTACAAGTTACTGTCACATGTTGAAAAATGGAACCAGTGTCTTGACAAATTACAATAAATATTGTAATAAACAATTATTTTTTTTATCTGGGGTATCCAGTCATCACTTTTATGTTTGTTTGTTTGTTTTTGTTTTGTTTTGTTTGTTTTTGGGTTTTTTTTTCAGTTTCAGACCGATTACACATTGAAAAGACAACATGCCAATGGATCTAGAAATCGAAGCCTGGGGCGCAAGTATACACCAGAATCTCCGATGATGTTCTGTCATCGAACATCCTTTTGAAAGTTCTCAGAGAGAGGAAGCTAATAAACGCACTCGCACTGGTACCGGTATTTCTGTTTCGGTTGGGGGGGGGAGGGGGGGGGGTCATTCTCTAATCTTGAAATGGCAATCTGGCTGCTCCTGTAAAGAGCCCTCGTTGCAGAAGGATAGATGTGGTCCCCTGGAAGAGCATCGGTGATGATCTTTAATGCAGGGTCGTCTACATTTGCTTGTTATTAAGGCAGACAGGTACAACAAGATGACGAAGAGCTTCTAGGAAAGAAATTTCTCTCCTCAAACTCGGAGTCCGAGACTGGAGTTGAAAACCAGAGACAAACTGGGACCTGTTTGAAGACCTCGATGAGACAAATTCTAATAAACCTTAAGAACTGTAGATTAGATCTATTACGGTACCGGTAAATCTACATCAAGCAACTCCATGCATGTGCTGTATTGGTATTTTTTATCATGCAGGAAATATTGCAACATTAATTCGTTAAAATTTGATAAGTAATTACCGGTACTTCAACCATAATACCTCCAATTGTGTTTGCTATGTTAAAAGAGAACTTTTTGAGGGTGCCTGAGTCAGTCTATGCAGGGGGGGACTAAGGTATACCACTCTTTTCCCTTATATTTTTGAAGAATTGGAGATATTTTTCCCCCAAAAGATTCTGAATTGATACTTTAATTCAACCATCCCCCGTATTTGATCCCAGAAATATTAATTATGAATCTTAAACGCTATAAAAGGTGCCCTAGTCACCCCAGTTTACCGTTTAAAAATATTATTGGTAATTGATGTCCATATTCTATTGTTCAGCCATAGAAAGTATGATCACTTTCTGTAAGGCAGCAGGGTCCAGGAACACAAGAAATCCAGATAAAGAAAAATTGAATAGATTAATACGGAACGCATGCAAAATTCCAAAATCTATATTTCCTCTACTTCAATGAATTATACATTATTGCTTGCAGTGGAAAAACAATTCCATCTTTTTGGACAACCAAAATATTCATCTTATCTTATCATATCTTATCTTATAACAACAGGAGTCAAAGCTACTGGTCTCAACTTCTCTCTTTGGAAGAGGTACAGGGAAAATGTGAGCATGTCCAAAGAGGGAGCAATTTGTGTTAGCAAAAATAAGTTTATTATTGTATAGATGTAAACAAATCTGAGCTCTGCTGAACATGTTTGCAAAGGATGTTTGGTTTCGCACCCTGCGGACCACGCTTTCTCCTGGCGTTCTCGCCTCCAAAGACACACCTTACCACTCATTCTCCAAACTCAACAACAGTATTATCATTTATCTCAGAGTTCACAGGTGGCAAGGGATCAAAATTGTGAAGAAAGAAAGCTAAAAACAGTCACTACAAAAATATGATTTAAAACTAACACAATATGCTTGTCTTAAACTCAGCAACTGGGTTAAAATAAGCTGTGAAACGATTGCCAAACGTCCCAGTGTCTGCGCCACACATTTGGGTTATGCTCAGATAGTGGTACATACCGTAGACAGGGATATTACTTGAACATCATCTGATTAAAACGACTGTGGCTAACCCCATCTATGATAAGGGTAAACCAAAACTCGTGGTGCTGGGTATGATTGTTCTTTATTCATGGATCAGAAGACGCCTCAGTATCTTTGACGGGGCTTCCACATTTTCTTCTAAAGGTCTGATTGAATACAGTCCGGTATTTGGAGCTCATTTCATAGTATATCAAAATGTTCAAAGCAGAATTTGTAGACTCCAGGATATAGCCAAAGGAACAAAGGATAAAGAACAAGTTACGATATTGCCCGTCTACAGAGAATTCAGGTTCTACGATCATCCCAATAAACACAACAGAAACAGGGATGAAGCAGACGATGAATAAAGTAGAAATCATTGTCACCATTTTTGTCACTTTTTGATCACGAGTAGAGAGATTATCGGATTTCCCCGCAGAGGCTGTTTCCTTCCTCCATTTTGTTTTGCTGCGGAGCTTGACGACCAAGGTCACAGTGCAGACGATGACGACAAAAAAGGCGCTAAAAGAAACGAATACGTTATTCACAGCGAAGGAAATTGCTTCCACTTCTTCGCGATCTTCAGTAAAAAGAAGTCCTATCACTGTTTTGTTTCGTTTTGGGGAAAACTTGGGCCCGATCCTGTTCACTTGGTAAATTGGGGAAACACTTGTGATGAGAACAATGAAAAGGCAAACGATGACGATGACCACTCGTTTTGGCGTGATAATGTTCTTCACCTGTATACAGAAGAAAACATGGGTGGCATTGAATATGTGCTTGAACAACAAACACAATGGAAGACTCATGTTGCACCCTACTGAAGCCAATTCATTGAAATGTACCCTCTCAATCCTTGGTGTCCGTATATGTCATAACGGTGTAGCAATAAACCCCACCACTCCCATCCCTAAAAAAAATAATAAAGAGAAAGAAAAGAGATCACATTGATTACTTGAAATGTAGGCTATTCTATTAATTTGTTATTCTACTTTTTAACTAATCTGTGTTTTCCTGATTTATCTTTCTTTTTCAGAAAAAACCATCATTAACCTAACCCTTAGAAGGGACCAAGGAGTGAAAAAAGAACAAAAAGGAAGAAATGAATGGAGAGGCGGAAAAAATTACCAATCATTGTATTCAATTAAGTAAACAAAAGGAAAAAAACATTTAATTTTAGCCAAAAAGGATACATTAAGGGACACATAGGTGTTTAGGCAAAGATACTTAATGGCAGACAGATCGACAGACTTTATAGAGTGTAAGGTAGACAAACAGACAGATAAGAAGATGATAATGAGCTTTCTATGGTCTTTCAAGGACCTACCTTCAGAGGTAAGGCAATACACAGACACCGCTCGAACGTAATGAACGCTGTGATCCAGGCGGTGATACGAGTGAAGGTCACGTGAGGCCAACCAGCCGTCAGGTACTGGGGGTCAGATTTGATTTAGGATATAACGATATTAACTGATAATGTTGGACATTTTCTCCTCTGTTTGTCTCAAAGCATGAGTTATCCTCCGTCGGCCTGCTAGGCCAGTCACAGTTTCACCAGAGTCCCTTTAGCCAGCAACGTTTTGGGGTGACCCGGGTCGACCATCACGGCAGGCGTAACGCCTCAGTGACAACGTACTTCACCCAGACCCAGCTATCCCCTACTTTGTCCAGTTTCTACCTCCCCCGAAAAACAGTTGTGGCACAGAACGAATAGGCGAATCAATTAAAATGAAAAAGAAGATATTCATGAAATGACAGAAGTCAAAGACCGAAGAGGGCTTTATAGAATACAGGAAAGCGAGAAGAAAGACCAAAAGAATCATCAAAACTGCTAAAGAAAATGCATTGAAAATATATGTCGAGAAACTGACCAAAGTCTGCAAAGAAAACCCAAGAGAGTTTTATAAAAGTGTGAACAGCATGCGGATAAGGAAAGACCCATACAACCTGACATGCATTATAAACGATAAAGAGGGTAGTGCCATTCTCAGCAAGCATGTCATTAAGAAAAGATGGGAAAATTACTTCCAAGAACTACTCAACCCAGACCTTGCCACGGACAACAAGAAGCGTTCCAACCATCATGTGGGGAACCTACAGAACCACCAATACTTCTCAATGAAATCGAAGAGGCACTCAAAACCATCCCCAAGAACAAAGCCCCAGGATCAGATGACATCACAGTGGAAGCCATAAGAGCTTGTGGAAACACCGGCGTATTGTGGCTGAGGCGAATTTTCAATAGAGTCTGGGAGCAAAGGAAATACCCAGAAGACTTGCAGAAAGCCACTATTGAAAAATAAAGGCAACAAACGGGACTGCACAACGTACAGAAGCATCTCTTTATTAAGTCACGCAGGAAAAATTACGCAAAGATACTAGAGCAGCGGATAAGACCTATTGTCGAGAGAAATCTAAGCAAAGCTCAGTTTGGATTCCGAAAGGGAAGAGGATGCACGGATGCTGCGTCCGCATTAAGAAAGATATGCAGGAAACCAATTGAACACAACAGGAAATCCAACATCGTCTTTATAGACCAAGAGAAGGCTTTTGACAGAGTAAACCATGCAAAACTCTGGAAAACACTCCACAAGTATGGCGTCAAAGGACAAATGTTAGATATTGTGTAGAGCTCTATATATATCAACAGCAGAAGCTCAGTAAGAACGACAGAAGGCAATACAGACTGGTTCAAAGTAATATCTGAAGTACGACAGGGATGCGTTCTATCTCCCCTCCTGTTTAAAATATAAATGGACACAATCACGCAAAGACGCAAACCAAAACCCAGAAAACCTAAATGAACTTCTATTCGCAGGCGACCAATGTCTTATTCATCCAAACCAACAAAGCCTCCAAAATCACACTACCAAACTGAACAACAGCTGAGAGAAATTTAACATGAAAATAAGCACACCAAAAACAAGTTATGAAAGTGAGCGGAAACTGTAGTCCTCTGGACACCCATGTCAATAGTAAATAACTGAAACAGGTGAAGCAGTTTAAATATCTTGGCAGTTCCAAGACAGAAAAATAGAAATGCGAACTCAAAAAGCTAACGCTGTCACCTACCAGCTCGCACTCCTATCTCATCCAAACATCTCCAGGGATACAAAGAGACAGCTTATCACCTCAATATTCATACTAACATTATGCTTCCAGTGCCAGACCTGGACATTAAGTAAAACCCATGAAAGCTAAATCACAGCATGCGAAATGAAAAGCCTGCTCAAAACCCTTAACATCACAAGACGAGACAAGCAGAGAAATGAAGAAGTGAGAGCAGCTATCGGCATTGAGTCCTTCCTGCATTACATAGAAAGACAGATAATAAAATGGTTCGGCCACCTGTTACGTGTGTCACCTGGCCAGCCAGCCTCGAGAGCCTACAACACCAAGCACTTTGGCTATGAAGGAAGAGGAACACCACCCAGAAGGTGGATCGATGGGTGTTAAGGAAACCCTGAGAAAACATAATAATATCCCAACTGAAAGAGCTGCGGAGCTGGCCCACCATAGAAAACTGCGACTTTCCCCGACGCTTAACAGCAAGAGAGGATTAACCACTTCCCTACTAGGCCCGAGAATTGGGTGATAAGGCAAATCTTCGACAAAAAGCGTATTCCAGCCTTCCATAAATGATAATTTATAGAGGAAAAAATAATTCATTGTAGGCGACTTTTTAGTTTGATTTTAGATTTTTGGTAGATCTATCGTCGTGGGTGGTGGGCGGGTGCTCTGGTGTGGTTTGCTCCTTCTTTCCAAATAAACAGCTATCGCCTTTATCTCTCCTCCTTTTTTATGGTGGTTACTCTCTTGTTAACTCTAATCTTCGGCACTTATGTGACCTTATTGTGTTGCAAATGCCGTAAAACTCTTACTTGGACTAAAAGATATAATAATATCGTCGTTGTCCACTCTCCACTGACGTCCCAAAATAACCGTCAACACTTTCAACCCCACAACGTAAAGGGACTGAGCAGATCTTGCAAAGACGACTTTTGTGTTGACAAAATTTTGCCCCCCCCCCCCCACCCTTGCCGACTCTCAAACTGTGTTTTTGTTGTTGTTGTTGTCGTCGTTTTGGTTTGTTATTTTCCTCTCAGCCTCTCGAAAATGCTTGGTGAAATCAAGGAAACATAATTACCTACCTTCAATGATTTTGAAAAAAAAAACCCCACCTCACCTTAATGTGCAGAAATAAGGCCAACAAAACCAATAGCAGACCAGATGCTTACATATTATTGCGTAGTTTGTCTTCTTTTAACGCGTGCTTGAGTTTTGTCGCAAAAAGTAGTCAATTGGAATTATCCTACTGTGATTACACATGGCGTATGCAAATGAACAAACCCGTAAAAATGAACAAATTCGTTTATCTTTAAAGTTACAGAAAATTTAAACAAACTTAAGATTTTGCACCAGCAAAACTTTATGAATAATTTTAATGCTCCTTGTGAGCACGGCAGTGGTAGTACCATAGCCAATGACGTTTTAACTGAGGCGTCGGTACTGCCAACTGTGGGCAAGGGGGGAGTTAATGAGGTGAGGCGGGTAGGGGATTGGGGTAGGGGGTAGGGAGTAGGGGGTAGGGAGTAGGGGGCAGGGGAGTGGGGTAAGGAGTGGGGGCAGGGTTGGGGGTAATAGGGGGTAAGGGTTTGGGGTCGGGAGGGGGACTGGGAGAAAGGAACAGGATACTGTAATGGGAGGGGTTGTTTGGGGAAAGTAATTGGGGTGTGGGAGAGGGATGAGGGGAAACGGAATAGGGGGAGGGGGGAGGAGAGATGGGATATACGGGGTACAGCAACATCAGAGAGATGGACTCGGGCCGGGCAGAAAAAGGGTTAAATGTGGTCACCCAAAGTACACAGAGGAGACGTGAGCCCTTCGTCGCCGTAGCAGTGAAGGGGTTTTAAAAAGTAAAATGTAAAGTAAGTTGAAAAGTTTAACTGTATCCAAATGTACATGATATGCATAAATAAATCGAAAACCCCACAACCTGGCAGAAATATCAAAATTTAAAGGATGATGTCAAGGCATTATCTCGCTGCTGTGCTGCACATCTCAGGAGACACCAGAACGGCGTGTCGGTGCATACAGTCTGGCTAATGGACCTATTTGTTACGCCATGCAAGGCTTCGACTGGAAAGGAAAATTATTATAAGACTATAACTTCAGATTAGGAACTTATTTGTTACGTAATATTTTGGAAAACTTTAGTCCACCTTCTGTAGAAGGCGTTCCCGATGTTGTTTAATACTACGTGCGAGATTTTCTGTTTCAAGGACGTTATACACGTTATTGCATGTTGAAACCCTGAAATATACAGATGATTTTTTCCACTTTTTTTTCAAGAACTGTGCCAGTTTAAATCAGATCCACCTTATATTTATGGGGCCACTTTGGTCACTCATTCTAATAACTTGAAATACTGAAGATCGTTTATTGTGAAAAGACTGCCAGTTTTAAATGTTTTCATTTCTACTCTACCGGCGTCTGTACTGTATCGGTTTGGTACTTCGCATGCAGAAAATCAGGGTTTGATTCCCGTGTGGGGAAAATTTTAATCGAGTACTTCGGTCTTTCTACTGGGATGTTATATCTCTTACAGTCGGTGTTAGCCCTGACAGGCAGGGTCGACGTCAACCTCCTAAATGATATATTTTTTCTGGACATCATCTATCTATCTATCTATCTATCTATCTATCTATCTATCTATCTATCTATCTATCCACATCCACAAATAGAACAAAACTTCACATCACAGACACCTTCTCCTTGGCGAATATTATGAAGGGAATCAGATACCTGTACGTCTATAGGATCGAATGGAAGGTCCAGCTCATTGAAGAGGGGATTGAAGCAAATGTTGTGCCAGATGAGAGTCACCAGACATCCAAGATCGGAGATGGCCAGACCTGTAGAAACGTCGAAATACATTAACTTTTTAAGGATGCACCGGACGTATATGATGTCCTATTTCATTGTACTCGTGTGTATTATGCTGTTATCTTCCTTTTTAGGTTTCAGATAAAGAGAGCAGAGTCGAAAAACTTGCATGAAGGTAATATGCTTCTTTTTTTTAAATGCCCCAAATCATCGTGTTTTAAAGGAGGCTCAGGTAGTATAGATGCATGTTGTTCGCCTCCCATTCAATAGGTACCCGGGTTTTCGAAATCTGACAGCGACAGAATTTTTTTTCTCTTTAATTTTCTCCTTTCACCTCTTTTCGTGGTCTCTAATCAGGTTTGTCATCTGCCTTATCTTCGCTTTCTGCCTTCCTCCCTTTTGCCCCTTTCTCCTGGAGTATCCTGACTTTTTCTGCTGCTACTTTTAGCTCGTTCTTACTGCTGTCTTTCTGCCACACCCTTGATCTTAACTAAATAGATAAGATTGAACGCCTAGCCTTCTCGGATAAGGGATACAAAATCTCGGAGGTCCCATGTGATAGGTGCGCACGTTGAAGGTCCCTTCGTGGTCCTTAAACCGATAAGAATAGGCTTCGGCCGCCTCGCGGGGAAAGTTCAAAATATTCTTACCAAACTCCCGCGCGCCCATATGACCTGAAAGCCTGTTTTCGAAGAGTTAAGCAAACGGAACCACAAGCATAAACACACCAGCAGTCAACGACCGACCATCATACCGAGCAGACTGACATTGACGGGGTCACTGAATCCTAGCTTGACAAACACGATGATGTTGATGATGTTGGTGACGGTGCCGAAGACGTCGATGATCTCACAGACGATGGCGAAATTCACCACTTGGAAGATGAGTTTGACGTCATCGCTCACCAGACCGACGTCTGAAGCAAGTTCTATCGTCTGGGACGAGTTGTTGGTCTTGAAGTTATGCATGCTTTTTTCCCTTGTTGAATAAATTGGAATTTAAACGTGAAATCGCTATAACATTCTAAAAAACAATAATAAGAATTATGCTTGTTAGCTTTATTTTCATTCTATTTTGTTTACTTATATTCAGAATGATATATATGGTATTCAAGCACATGATCAACTAAATAAAACAAAAGCAGAGAATCTAATTTGTTTCCAGTGAGGTTTTTTTGTTGTGGTTTATTTTTCATTCTATTTTATTTTGTTTTCAATTAACAGAAGACCAAAAAGAAGAAAGTGCGAAACTGTGTAAGTTATTAATGTCACTGACAATACTGAAAGATTGTTTAGGTGACGACATCTGCGAATTAAACGTCTGTCTCCGATTTGATCCAGCCAAATGGAACATTTGTGCAAAGTGTCTTTTTCCAAGGACACAACTTTGGATTGAGCTGAGCCTGGAACCCCCAAATCCGCAATCTCATGAACTTGCTAGTCAGATAGCCTAACCACTAGATCTAGTCTACCACGGTGCCACTTAATGACGAGAATGAAAAAGTGATATTTTTATTAATGTAATGTGCATTGAGCATTTTTAGGAAATGGAAATGCTCAGCATAATATACTATTTACTATTTCTGTTATTACTGTAACATTTATATTTGAAAGACACGGAAAAAGAAGAAGCCCCCCCCCCCCCAAACAAAACAACAACAAACAATACCAACAAACAAAGCTTTGTGAACTAACTAAGAAAAGGGAAAATATGAAGACAATATAGGAATATCACTTTAAACACCGAACATATACCAATCAGGGGCATGCAAGACAACCCAAGGCTGCACACTAACTAGAGAGCATGTAGGCCTGCTGCTCATTGATTCAGAAAAGCAGAAGTAAAGGCGTACTCAGACACCATAAATATCAATATTAAAACTGATTGAGCGTACTCACTGAGATAAAAATATTGTAAGTGAGCCTACTCCAGTGTTGCTCTGATTTAAATGCGCACTCATATGACCTTATGCAGTTGGGAGCGCCGTAAACGCTTACCGAAAAAAATAACTTGGAATAAAATTTGTTCTTCTAGTTTCAAGAGTCTCAGTCAACTCTGCTTCGACTTTAAATGTGATATCATTAAAGGAATTTGATAATATAGTGATGAAGTCTCTATTGGATATGTGATTATACTGCGAGAACAAAGACACCTGTCATATTTTAATATTATTATATTCTATTATAGTTTACTTCATAATTTTATAAAAATTCCATTGCTAAAAATTTGGAGAAACTACGTAACGAACAATATAGTTAAAGTAGAAATTACATAAAGACGGAAACCATAAAGACATGATGACGATGACATGTGGTTACAAGTGTAAACACCGTTACGAAAGTAAAGCCTCATAAAATAGGACAATTAGCACATTTTCATGGGGTTTCTTTCCTCGTGACACGGTGTACCCTATTATTATATCTGCTACAGCTAAATGTGGCCTAACGTGCTGCAAATGGGTTAATTTAGAACAAGTCAAACTTCCCCACTGTTTGACAAGTAATAAAAACAGGCGATTGCCAACCAACGTCAAAAGATTTTGCCACTAAGGTCGTCGGCCTACTGCCAAGAGTAGGGAACCAATATTTTGAATAAAGAAATTTTTCATCAAACAAGCTGACCCACGAACGCTTTACACTCATAGCACGACAGTTTAGTTCGATTCAAGGAATTAGATTTAAGTAGACATGATCAGTTCTGGGGCTAAAAATCTTTCTTTTTTTTGGTCCCAATTCGTGCATTGATAGCTTTTACAACATAATAACATCTTCCCTCAGTCACTGAGCAGACATTGCTCAGATTCCTACTGTTAGGAAAAATCTTTGTCTGGCAGAAAAAAACTAGGGTCTTTTGATTCCAACAAATGCTGAATCCAAAACTCACTAATCTTTAGAGTGTTCAGTATTACATGTGAGGCAGCGTGTTGGAATCAGGCTCTCGTCAAAATAATCAAAGTGAAGAAACATGCCTTTTCCGCAGGTTTGTGAATTTTTATAAAAATTTTGTTTTTTCGCTCAAGACCTTTCACACCAATTAAAGAACTCATTTCTGTGTGGATTTTTTTGAAAAATGCTGATTAAAGGCACACAAAAATGTAAATGGAGGTGCTTTTGCTAGTTGATAGCAGGGAAATAACAATTTCTTCAAGTCACTGAGGACGCTCTGTTTTGGGGCTTTTCGAAAAGATAAGCTCATCACAACTCCGTCTTCCATGCAGATTTTTCTGTTCTGTTTCCTTTACTTGAAACGTAAAATGAGAGGCAACAACATGCATGCTAGGAGCAATGCAAATTCTTGTTTCTGGTAATGTATACGCACTTTAGGTTCCATAGTGTAGTTGTAGTCTATAGTGTGGTCAAAAGCTATCCCAAAATATCTTTTTAAGAGGTAAATCAACATCACCCATACTTT